GGCGACCGTCTCGCCTCGCAGAACTACGCAACCTCGCACGGATATGCCTGTACGTGGCACACTCCCCAAGCACGCCACGAGCTTTCATCGTGTGGTAAACGTGATGTACAGTATCAATGAAAAGAGCACAGGCGAGCAGCTGCGAGTCAGAGAGCGGGATGAGAGGATAGAAGGACAAGCGCTCGACGGCCGAGGCACGGCAGAACAGGGGAGGCAGGGCGGGCAGCAAGCGGACAAGACTAGAAAGACAGGGGCACTCGAGGATATGGATGATATCGTCGCCTCCGAGGGCATAGCCACAGAGACGGCAGCAGGCAGTAGGGCCTGGGAAGCGGCGAGAGGTGCACCAGGCGTTGCAGACTGCCTTGGCAACGCATGCGAGCACGAAAGGAGGGGCAAGCTTGGACAGGCGACGGAAGCACATGCTAAGAGCATCAATGTCGGCCTCGCTGGCCGAGGGTGTGAAAAATCTGATTCTGGCAGTGAGAGTAGAGCGGCAAGATTTGCTCGCTCGGCGTTGCAACAGAAGATCAGTTTTTCGCTGCAGCTGCCTATCGCCGAATTGAGGGGCCTGCGGGATCTCAGAGATGCGCTTCCAATTTTTCCTGAGCTGCTACATCATGGACTGGTGGGACATTTCAGGCGAGCGCATGACCAGAAGCGACTCTCTGCGCCCACCCTCCTCCTCCATCAGATTGCAATAGGTGTGGAAGGCACCCGAGGTAAGAGCCACACGGTACATCGCGGCGGCACTTGCAGAGCACAGGCCTCGAGTTTGAATCGCAAAGCCTAGGTCGGTGAGAGACGTCATCATCTGATCGGTGAACGCGTTGCGGGGCCCTCTCACCAGGATCTGCAAGGCTTCTCTTTCGGCAGCGAAGGCTTCTTTAGACGGCGGGAGGAGCTGCATCGCGTGCCCCAGGACGGGGGAGGCCCTCAAGTTGCACTGCCCCACGGATTTGACGAGCCCGAGGTCCAGGGAGCGAATAAGCCAGGCGCGTTCCCGAAGTTTCCGAGCAGGTGCAATCCAGGAGAATGCGTGGCCCCCAGGTCCAAGAACCAGCCCGAGATAAACAGCCCGCGCGCAGATCTCGAACTGCTTGCTCAGAATGCCTGCTTCTCTCACGCATGCGAGCACGCATTCTTCACCCCGGAACTCAAAAGGCGCAACTTTCGTCTTCTTGACGTTTAAACATAGGCCATCAGCACGCGCAGCGAGACGAAAGACTTGGAGAACGAGGAAGAGACAGGCGTAGATGTCCTGTGCGACGAGGCCAGTATCATCTGCAAACACCGCAAAACAAGCTTCATCCCTGGGCAACCTTGACATCATTATACGAATAAACAAGTCGAAAACGAGACGGAAGATCGAACCACTCAGAGGACAGCCCTCTTTCACCCCACGGAGAACTCGGAAAAAAGCTTGTCGCGGGCCGCACAGCAAGATTTGCACTTTGATGTCTCGGTAGAGCTCTGCAATCGCGTGCAACATATCTTCGGGAAAGCCCATGGCCTTCAAAATAATGAATATGAATACGTGCAGCACCGACGGGAACGCGGCGCGAATGTCGAAAAAGGTGCATCCCGTCTTGTCTGCACCTAGCTGGCACCACCAAGAGACAGCTCGAGTTTCCAACTCGAGAATATTGGACAGCATATCGCGTCCAGCGATAGAGCCACGCTGGCGGTCGTGACATATGTCTTGACATATGCGACTGACAGGGCGATTGATGGCGAGGGCGATGATTTTGTTGTCTGCGTTGCTAAGGCAGAGGGGGCGGGTGTCTTCGGGGAGACGCCGAGCACTTTCGTCGTCAGTTTCACGGGTACCGTTAGGAAGGAAGACGCCCAGGGAGTGATTGAAGCCATCAGGGGGCTCTCCGAAATTGACGACGTCGACGTAAAGCTCATAAAGCATCTGGATTGCCGCTGGACCCGCACGAGTCCAAGCCGAGCATGGCAGCCCATCTAGGCATGCACCTGTGTCATGCAGCCGGCGCAGCATTTCTTCACGTTCGGGCTGCTCGAGTTTCCAGAACACGACCCTACGCACTGGCTGGATGAACGGCTTGATCCGCTCCACGGCGGCCTCGTCGACCGCGACAAGCGCGTGGACGGACCCCCCAGTGCTTGGCAAGCCTCTCCGCGGCAACATTCGGGCACGTTTCGCACCGGCCCGAGCTGTCCAGGATGCCCGCCAAGGGGATCTGGCGGATGTTGGTGCCCCACACCGAGTAGCACTGCATCACGCTCTGTTTCTTGGCGAGCTTATAGGCGGGAGGAAGCGAACCTGGATCGATCTCAGCAACGTCATCATCGATGAGAGCCGTGGAGATGGAGCCGAGGAAAGCGTGGATGCCCGCCCCGTCAAGCCAGGCGCAGTCAGTCGCGTTCACGCATTTGGCGAGCGCAGGGAAGACACGGAGTGCAAGCACGATTTTGGGGATGTTACCAGCGGCCTTGCCCCAGACGACCGCGAGAGCCCACGAGACCTTTTCAGCGGGGGGGGCGGCTTCACGCTGGCAGGCCGCACCCATAACGCGCCGCGCGGCAGCACGAAAGACATCTTTAAATTCGAGCGCACGTTGATAAACATCCCGAGAGGGACTGGCTTCACCTATGTCCTCGATCACTTCAGCCACATGTTGAGGGTAGAGCGGGCCCCTCGCGACCCATCGCGGAATCCTCGGGACCCCGGGGGTCTTGGCAGACACCCGGATAACAGCGACGGGGACGTGGTCCGAGGGGTTCTTGGGGCCCAGGGCAGAACCGATCGTGAAACTCCGAGGGTTCAGCTCCAGGATGCGAGCGGAAAACAGATTCATGTAGATACGGTCGTTTCTTCCCAAGGATTTCTGGTCTCCCATGCGGCCGAGGCGCGTGTACTGCATCTGCTGGACTTCCGCCAGGCTGCCCAGAACAGCTTGAAAGCGGCGGGCGAGCGGCGAGTCAGCGCGGCGGACGGTTCCTGAAAGGTCGCCCCTGCCCTCGCCGACGGGCTGGATGTTGAAATCCCATAGCAAAAATGAGGAGCATACAATGGGCACATCATAACACTCTTTATTTTGTTCAGGGTCCGCCGCTTTGGAGGTTCGGGAATGTCGGGACCTCGGAGAGTAAGACTGCGCAGCCTGCCCGCGACCAGCTCTGAGTGGTCGAAACTCTCGAAGTGTTTGCAAAGAGACGGGGAGATGAAGATAGCATTGCCGCCAGCGGAGGAGGAGGAACAGAAAGTACCGTACGCTCGAGCGCCTTCGCGCTCACGTAGAAAAATGTCGAGATCTTCCTGCTGTCCATGGCATTCATGGAGGCAAACGATGTCGAATTGTTTCAGCAACCTGTCGAGTAGTTTCACAGTGCGTGTTTGACGAGTGCGATCAGCATACGCAGAGGCAAACAGTGTGTGAGCGTTCCAAGTAAACATGGATAGTCTTTCAATTATTCGAAATGGATAGCAGGAAATAGCAGACGGTGGGGTGCGCGAAATGCCCGGGGACGGCGAAACCGATCGCGACGAGCTGGAAGACGAGGAAGAGCAGGAAGAAGAGGACGAGCACGCCGAACACGAAAGAGGACGAGGGGAGGAGAGGAGGACAGGCGCTGAGGCAGCTGCAGCCGTGCACGTGCAAAAATGGGCGCTGGCCCCCCTCGCGTCCAGCTCACGCGGTGTGTCTGTTTCCTAGCGCTTGATGGACTTGGCGATGCCCGTGGCGTTCGCCACGTCGGCCTCGGCGAACCCGACCTTCTTGAGCGCTGCCAGGTCGGGGGCGATGACCACGTTGTTGGAGGCGCCCTCGGTGATGACAACGCACAGGTCTTGAACAGCTTCACCGTCGATGAAGAAGAGAATGCCTCGGAACCCGTTGGACCCGAGTTTCATATTGTCGGTCCATGTGCTCTTGCCTTTCATGAAGGTGATCGTGGACTGCCAAAACGAGCCGAGGATCTTATTGCGCGAGCGCACATCATGAGGAGCATCAAAACACGCACGCAAGCAGAGCTGCTCGTTCGTGACGGGGTCGGCGTACATCAGCATCATCATTTGAGGGTTGTCGCGCGAGCGCTGGACGAACTCGCTGGCCTGGTCGACCGAGCTGAACTTCATCGAGAAGCTCCTGTTCAGGTTGCAAGCTTTGATCTGTACCAAGTTCCGCTCGTGCGTGGGCATAGTGGTCAGGACGGAGTTGGCGAACTGCGACATGGAGGAGACGAGCATCTTGCGCGTGAGCCCTCCGATCCATACCTGTGTACGATCGCAATCAGCGTCAGCACGTCCCAAGGAATAGCCGTCGCTGCTGGCTCCCGTAGAGCCTGTCGAGCCCGTGCCGACACGGCTCCTCCTGCTCCTGTCGGAGTTCGCGGAGGCGGATGCAGACTGCATCCTCGCGGTCGAGGATTCGAGCTGAAGTAAACGAGCTTCCAGCTGCTGGTCCAGGCCCGTGTGCTGCGCTTTGTGGAGGGCAGCCATCGCATTCTTGTTAGCCTCGTCGATCTGCTGTTGCATCTCAACAAACTTGGCGTCGTGGGCCTGCAGCGTGGTCTTGGTCTCGGCGATGCCTCCAACAGCGGCCTTCACGTGACCAATGTCGGCGGTCACGCTCGTCATCTGAGCGAGCAGCTGGACGAGTTGTGCCTCCATCGAACTCATGCGCGTGGCCGCAAGCAGCCGTGAAAACTGGAGGGCGGGGAAAAGCTGAACGAAAGCTGGAGGGTGCTCCTCCACTAGCTCACCGCCACAAATGGAAGCCAGGATGCAGACCCTTGTGTCGCGGGCCGAGTCTGCAAAAAGGCGCGGACCACAGCACCACCTTGAGCCAAAATGGCTGGAGCCAAAATTGCTACAGAAGGAAAAGGAGGAGGAGGAAAAGGAGGAGGAGAAGGAGAAAGAGGAGGAGGAGGAGGAGGAGGCAATCGGTATTGGCAAGTACCCACTTTTGCTCCACCCGCCAGTGACGGCATCCACAGCTGCGTCCCTGCCCCCCCCCTTTCCCAAGCGGAGCCTCCAGAGCAGGGAGGCCACAGAGTGGCCCTCCTTGTCGTTGGGCGCCTCCGAAGCCGATCGCGGTGGCATTACCCTCCTCCGCCTTCTCCTCCACTGCCTCCTCATTATCAGCATGATCATCACCACCATCATCACCTAAACCATCATAATCAACATCATCATCATCATCATCATCATCATCATCATCATCATCATCATCATCATCATCATCATCATCATCATCATCATCATCATAATCATCATCATCTTCATCATCTTCATATCATCATCATCATCATCATCATCATCATCATCATCATCATCATCACCATCATCATCCTCATCCTCATCATCATCATCATCAACATCATCATCAGCAGCAGCAGCATCGTTATCCTCATCATCATCGTCATCATCATCATCAGCATCATCATCGTCATCATCATCATCATCATCATCATCATCATCTGCAGCAGCATCATCGTCATCAGCATCATCATCATCAGCATCATCAGTATCGTCATCATCATCATCGTCATCATCATCAACATCATCATCAGCAGCAGCACCGTCAACATCATCAACATCATCAGTGCAAGCGGCTTCCGCAGCATCAGCACCACATCCAAATCAGCATCATCAACAACACCATAATCAAAGAACTCATCACAATGATCACCATCATCATCATCCTCATCATCACCATCATCAGCATCATCATCATTAGCAGCATCATCATCGTAGTCATCATCATGATCGTCATCATCATCGTCATCATCATCGTCATGATCATCATCGTCATCATGAGCATCAGCATCATCCTCATCATCATCATCATCCTCGTCATCATCATCATCATCATCATCATCCTCATCAGCGTCCGTATCAGCATCATCGTCAGCATCAGCAGCATCATCATCATCGTCGTCGTCATCATTATCACCACCAACACAACAACAACAACGACAACGACAACGACAACCACAACAACAACAACACGCTGAGCACGGCCCTCCCGCCGCCCTGCATTGGGCAGCCCCCCCTTCCCCGCAGCAGCATCATCATCATCATCAGCAGCAGCAGCATCGTCATCCTCATCATCAGCAGCACCATCATCATCAGAATCAGCAACATCATCAACATCATCAGTGCAAGCGGCTTCCGCAGTATCAGCACCACATACAAATCAGCAACATCAACAACACCATAATCAAACACCTCATCACAGTCATCATCACCATCATCATCATCACCATCATCAGCAGCATTAGCAGCATCATCATCATCGTCGTCATCATCATCAGCAGCATCATCATCATCGTCATCATCATCGTCATGAGCATCATCATCGTCATCATGAGCATCAGCATCATCCTCATCATCATCCTCGTCATCATCATCATCATCATCATCATCATCATCATCATTATCATCATTATCATTACCATTATCATTATCATCATCCTCATCCTCATCAGCGTCCGTATCAGTATCATCATCATCAGCATCAGCATCAGCAGCATCATCATCGCCGTCGTCATCATCATCATCACCACCACCACCACCACCACCAGCAGCAGCAGCAACAGCAACAACAACAACAACGACAACAGCAGCAACAACAACAACCACAACGACAACAACAACAACAACAACAACAACAACAACAACAACAACAACAACAACAACAACAACAACAACAACAACAACAATCATTTTACCCGAACGCTCAGTGTTCTCACCAGTGCCAGGGTTTTCATGCGACGCGAGACAATACCCCCACTTCGTGGGGGGGCAGTTCAAGCTCTACCAAATATCCAAACGACTCTTCGCGACCACCCAAACCCAGCTTCCCGCCCTATGACGTTGGGACACTTCACTTCGTGGCGTGCGGACGACCGTGGCTACTACACTGGCGTGGGGTACACACCCACAGAACTTGGTCACTTATTCGGGGCGCGCGTGTGCCCAGCATCCTGCAATTGTGACATACAATACATGACACAGACAGACAGAGAGAGAGACAGAGAGCAGACAGAGAGAGAGACAGAGAGAGCGGAGTTGGTCACATTTTTGGGGCAAGTTCCTGAGATCGTCGTGTTTTTTGTTGGTCTTGCGCGCGCGAATGTCCACTTTACTTTTTTTTGCAAGGGATGTTGAAATTTGATTATGTAAGAACAAGAAAAAGTAGCTCGCGCGAGCTTATGTAACATAAATGTTGAAAAACCATTGGTTTTGTGGGAGTCGGACAGCGCGCGCGGGATGAAATTTGGACATTTTTTTTTGAAAAACCATTGGCTTTTTGATGTTTTTATGTTGAAATCGTTACGAAACCTAAGGTTCTGGAAGGATTTCGTCTTGCGCGCGCGAATGTCCACTTTACCTTATTTTTTGCAAGGGATTATTGAAATTTGATTATGTTAGAACAAGAAAAAGTAGCTCGCGCGAGCTCATGTAACATAAATGTTGAAAAACCATTGGTTTTGTGGGATTCGGACAGCGCGCGCGGAAGGACATTTTGACAATTTTTTCTTAAAAAACCATTGGGTTTTTGATGTTTTTATGTTAAAATCGCTACGAAACCTAAGGTTTTGGAAGGATTTCGTCTTGCGCGCACGAATGTCCACTTTACCTTATTTTTTGCAAGGGATTCTTGCAATTTGATTACATTTGAACAAGAAATTTCATTTTATAGTGTTTTTTGCAAGGGAAAGCGGGGGGGAACAAAACAACCGGATCCGGACACAATCGTTTTGCCTGAGACTTCCTCACGAAAATGATGAAAATGTAGCTGCGGCCTAGGCGCGGCGGGGGGGCCGTGCACCAGGGGTCCCAACAATAATTATTCTTAAGAAGAAATAATGTTCAACAACACGCTGAGCACGGCCCTCCCGCCGCCCTGCATGGGGCAGACCCCCCTTCCCCGCAGCAGGAAGGGGCCGAGCTGCACTGCCACGGCCACGGTGACGGCGGCGTCGACGACGGCGACGGCCGCGGCCACGGCGGCGGAGGTGACGACGGCGACAGCCGCGGCCGCGTGGACCTAGGCCTTCGACGGCATGCCTCTTCCAGAGCCCGCCTCCCGAGAGGTCTGGACCCCGTCGTCCCCTGGACCGGCTCTCCTCCCGAGCCGCTGTTCTCTACGGTCCCCGGGGGCCGGCGAGGGCCCCCGGAGGCCGAGAAACACCAAAAGCGCCGCCCATCGTGGTCTGTGGAACACCGCGGAGAGGTCTGGGAAGTCGGGGGCAGCGACAAGGATGGCCCTGCTCATGGGGGGGGGCGAACATCGCCCTGGAGATTCGGCGATGCATCGCCGATAGATCGGCAATGGGCCCACGATGGCGCATCCCCGCGCTACTGGGCGGGGTGGGGCTAGAAGGCCCCATTCTCGGCGATCGATGAGCGATTGGGGGTCGATTTATCCCCATGAGCCTACCCCCCCAACGTTGCCCCTGGTGGTCTGCGGGCCATACCTCGGCTCTCCGGCGGCCCTTCGGGATGATCCGAGGCCCCCCGGGAAGCCCTCGGCGAGGCGCAGCTGCTGAAGGCGTGCCGAGGCTGGAAGACCACCGAGAATCGACGGCAACGTCCGAGAAGCTCCGGCTTGCGCAAAACGAGGAGGTCTGGGGAAGGTGGCGGCGAGGCGCAGCTGTTGAAGGCATGCCGAGGCTGGAAAACCGCCGAGCACCGACGATAACGTCAAAAAATCTCCCCGACCAGCCATAACTGGGGGAGCTGTGGTCCTTACCCCCCTGGGGGAACCCATCGCATCGACGATCTCTCGAGAGGGGTGTCGAAATCGATGGGTCCCCCAGGGGGGTAAGGACCACAGCTCCCCCAGTTGTGGCTGGCCTGCCTCCGACTTGAGCAACACGAGGAGGTCTGGGGAAGGCGGCAGCAACCGCGGCGGCTGCACACCCGGCAGCGGCGGCGGCGCGTGGCCGCCCGCCACGGGTGGGGCTGCGGGGCGGCGCATCGTAGCGGTGGCTGCTCCCGGACTCATCCACCTTCGGCCGCGCTTCCGGAGCTGTCCTCCTCCTTCTCCACCTACTGCCCTCTTCAGCCTCCTCCACACTCCACCTCCTCCCCCTCCTCCTTAGCCTCCTCATCGTCCTCCTGCTGCTCCTCATCCTCCTATTCTGACTCCATCTCCTCATCCTCCCCCTCCGGCTCCAGCTCCTCCTCCTCCTCCTGCTTCTCTTGTTCCTCATCCTCATCCTCATCGACTTCCTGCTTCTCCTTCTCCTCCTCCTAATGGCCCTCCTCGTCCTACTCAAGCCCTCCTCCTCATTCGCCTCCTGCGCCTCCTCCTCCTCCTCCTGCAACTGTCTGTCCTCCTCCTCCTCCTCCTCCTCCTCCTCCTACTCCTCCTCCTCCTTCTCCTCTTCCTCCTCCTCCTCCTCCTCCTCCTCCTCCTCCCCCTCGCTGGTGTCGTCCTCATCATCTGCCTCCTGCTCCTCCGCCTCCTCCTCCTCCTCCTCACTCCTCTTCCCACCTCGTCTTCGTCGTTGGTGGCCCCGTCTGCTAACATAGATTCCTTGTCAAGGTGCCTCAGTGACAATGCGCGATCATTCCCATCGCGGTCGAGGTACGCGCTTGTTCTGCACGAAAGTGTACTATTTGCTGACGCCACCGTGCAAGACAGGCATTTGCTGCCAACGCGAACTGCTGCCGAGACGAAGGGGCTTCATTCGATTGCGGCGGTAAACTCTGGCAAAGGCCCGTTGTGTCGTGCGCGTCGTCAGCTGGTGGTACGCCTGGGGTTCCGTCAGCCAGTGGTCAAACTGAACTTCATCAGCTAGTTCATCGATTGGCATTCTCGACTGGTGGTCCGTGCGTCAAAAATCTCTCCTCGATGTCCTGACTCCCTAAGTTCCCGGTTCCGCCTTCGGGGCCACACATGCCAGCCGCTGAAGCGGTGACAGTGGTTACCAGGCTGGCGGCTGTCTATGCATCGGGCGGTCCTGGCACACAGACCGGGTCTGGCTCTAGACCTAGTCTTCTTCACCCTTGCGACCCGAGCCTTGAGCTCAGTGTGATCAGGCGTCAGCAGCAAGGAGCAGGCGCTTCACCGTGCATGGCCGATGATGCTGCTTCTGACCTGAGCACCTGGTCGACGCATAATTGCATGTTCACTGCAATGCTGAGACTGGTTGGCAATGTCGAAGACAAGTACTGGCCCGTATTGTGCTTCTGGTCGGTATTCTGAGTTGGTGCCGAGTGGCACAGATGTCGGTGATGTTCGGGCGCGTGTAGGACAATACGTACCCTCTGTAAACAACTCCTTGTTGAACACGCGATTCATCATACTAATCGTATCGCATGCCCTCCGCATTAACAACTCGACGAATGTTAGGCGCACCAACCAGCTAGCTGCATGGCCGCTTCGCTGGTGCCTTCCCCACACTGGTGCAAGGCTATGATTGATGCATCGCCCGCGCTGTTCGTCCGAGTCGTAATCATCTTGACATCCTCGGCGCCAATGTCTTCGCACAAATCGCAGCGTGCCATGAAGCAGTGAATAGAGTATCCGCAAGACCATTCGAGTCTTCTCTGTCACGTGTTGCACGTGCTCTCCAAAGCGATGCCCAAGGCGGCTCAGGCGGGGCCCAAGAGAGGGCCCAGGAGGGCCTCAAAGTGACTCGAGAGGCTTCCGAGACGGCGCCAACGTGGCCCAACGGGCACCAAGGAGGACCAGGAGAGCCACAGTGTGGCCCCGAAGGCCACGAGAGCGCCCCGAGGGGCGCTGACAACAGCGTCCGAACGAGACCGACGGGCCAAGAGCGCCCGAAGACGGCACGAGAGAACACCAAGATAACGGCCACGGGAGCCCCAGTGCCCTCAAGAGGGCCCAAGTGGACTGGCAAGAACCTCAGGACGGCCCCGGGACGGCTCCGCCCCAGTGATGCCCGGTAGCCCAAACGGTGTTTTCGCTCGACATTTCCACCACACAAGTATGTTCAAAGGCAGGCGCAGAGCTGACTCGCCGCCTAGGAGGAGGAGGAGGAGGAGGAGGAGGAGGAGAAGGAGGGATGATGATGATGATGATGATGATGATGATGATGGAGATGATGATGATGATGATGATGATGATGATGATGATGATGATGATGATGATGATGATGATGATGATGATGATGATGATGATGATGATGATGATGATGATGATGATGATGATGATGATGATGATGATGATGATGATGATGATGATGATGATGATGATGATGATGATGATGATGATGATGATGATGATGATGATGATGATGATGATGATGATGATGATGATGATGATGATGATGATGATGATGATGATGATGATGATGATGATGATGATGATGATGATGATGATGATGATGAGTAGAGGGAGGAAGAGGAGGAGGAGGAGGAGACGGAGACCGAGAACCACGACAACGACGGTGGCGGCGGCGGCGAGAAAAATCACCAAAAGGAGGACAAGCCTGACGAGGAGGAGGAGGAGGAGGAGGAGGAAGAGGAGGAGGCAAGGGGGCACTCCCCCCGCCTGGATGATCTCCAGCCGGAGCCCGAAGGCCATGGGGGCCTCGGCGACGGCGCCGTGCCGGACGAAGGGGGGCGGAGCAGGCAGGCGGAGGGGAGCACTCTTCTTGGGCCTGCGGACGCACGCGCGCAGGCGTCGGTGGAGCCAACGGCGGGGCGCACCGAAGCGAGCTGAGGCACGAAGGCACGGAAGGACCAGGTGGGGCGGAAGAGGAGGAGGCTGGTCAGAACGAGCGGTTGCTTACGGGAAGGCCGAGGTCGTGCAGCCACGTGGGGAGTGGAGAGGGGCACGCGGGTGAGGAAGGATGAAGGGGAGGAGGCGCAGAAAGCTCGACATTCAAGCGGAGATGGACGAAGGGAGAGAGGAGCACGCAAGAGGAGAATAAGCACGCAAGTGGAGGGGGAGGAACACGCAAGTGGAGAAGAACGACAGGGAAGAGGCTCAGAGGTTGGCATCCAAACACCGCCACAAGCAGGAGGGGGAGGGGGTCCTCCTCCTCCTCCTCCTCCTCCTCCTCCTCCTCCTCCTCCTCCCCCTCCCCCTCCTCCTCCTCGTCCTCCTCCTCCTCCTCCTCCTTCTCCTCTTCGTCCTCCTCCACCTCCTTCCCCCCTCCAACTTGTGGTAGTGGTGGTGGAAAACACGCCCCTCACTCAACGCACGTGCCCTGCCGACCACATCGGGCCATCTCTGACGGGCGCTGTCCCAAAGCTCCTGCCACCGTGCAGGCGGGGCACGCGCCGGTCTTCGGTGGCAACTCGCGGGAGCCTGCCACGTCGTCTTGAAGGCTCCTGCAGATCAACACCAACCCACGCTGAGCTACGCCAATCGAAGCTCAATCGGCGCTCTCTCATCGACTGCCAAGCGCTAGCGCACGCTGACGCACTCAAAAGACAAACATCCAACGACGTACAAGGCTTCCATGAGCTGCTACCGAACCTATGTAAACTGAGCCGTGGATCCCCGGGCTCCTCCTGGTGCGCTCTGACACGGACTCTGAGGGGGACCTGACCCTGGAGACGAGGACCCCAGAAGGCGAAGACCATTGAGGGCATCGGTGTCTGTTCTTCCTCTGACCGATTGCTCGTCGCTACGTTGGCCACACCCCGCCGCATCACCACATCGTGCGGCCCTCTTAATCAAGAACACCCTCGGGCATGTCGAGGCGGGAGCCAGAGCCAGCACGTAGTCGTCCGCCTCCACGCCGTCCTTCAGGATCCTCTGCTGGACGAACTCCTGGCCGGACGGCCAGAAGCAAGGCAGACGTCAACAACGCCGTTGCCATCACATTCGGAGGTTTCGGGGTTGCGTCTGAAAATCCTCCTCTCCACAGCCGGACGCGGCTCGGAAAGCTGGCCAGGACGGACCCTTGGAGAAGCCCAGGGGCAAATCCTGAGCGGATGCTAATCCTGTGTAATCGCACGCGCTGGGTCACACACCGGGCTTCGGACCAGCAAATCCGATGCGCTGTAGGCCCATCCTGGGAGAAGCCAGCCACATTCCTGCACGGTGGTCCACGTTGGCGTTGGGGAGGTGGAGGCCTCTCAAATGAAGCTTGAGAAGATTCGGTCGAAGGATCGCGCGGCATTACCAAGGCAAAGACGTCGGCGCGGAGAAAACCTAGCTCCGCGCAAAGCTGCATCGCCGATGCATCGGCGATGAAGCCCGACCCCATGTGGGAGGCCTGGAGATCGTGCAAGGTGGATCATTCTGGCGCTGGGGGTGACCCTCCGATTGCTTGGTGCAGCCTCCCCGAGAACTCCAGCCGTGCCACGGGCGTTGGGGGCCATGACATCCGAGGAGATGTCATGGCCCTTGCCATGGTATTCCCATACCCCTACTGGAGGCTTGGAAATGGGCACCAACACCAACACAGGAGGTTAATCCCACCGGGGGAAGATGATCCATCACCGAGATCGGGATGATTTTCCCTCCCTGGAGGCACACCATCGATATTGGTGTTGGGGAACCTCTAGGACTCCGACCCTAGGCATCACTCCTCTCTTGGCCGCCCCCGAGTGATAGAGCGTTGGGGGTTGCCTCGCAGCTGTCAGGCGCAGCCACCCCGAGAACTCTGGCCATGCCACAACAGCAGGTGCGCGGGGTCCTCGCATGACCGCGTGAACAGACGAGCACGCCGCGCACACCCGCGCGCACAAGCAGGCATGCGGGGAGAGAGGCTCCGATGTGGAAGCAGAAGACAATACTAGTACTATGCGCCCTCCTTGGGCGCACGCGTGCGAAGCGAACATATACCACAAATCTGTTATAGCATGTCGATACACAAGCGGCATGACCGCCATGGCCAGAAAGCGCCCGCTTTCGAGCATAAACGAAAATGGCGAAGCGCGCGCGCCACCCCCGTGGGCCGACGCACACATAGTATGATGATGTTTGGGTGATGCTGGGCAGAGGACAAAAACCTGGCACCCGCCGACGTGACTCTTTCGGTCCGCGGTCCGAAGAAAGCCCCGTGGGGGTTCGCGCCAGGTCCACTTCTGATGGTCCCGGGGCCCGATACCAACCCACAAAAAAACATGTTTTCCCTATCTAGGCTCTGCCTAGAGGGTTCTTACTTTGTTTGCTTAAAGGGGCCGGGCAGTGTAAAACGCCCCGGGCGGTTCCCCCAGTCCCCGCCCCGCGGTTCCCCCAGTCCCCGCCCCGCGGTTCCCCCAGTCCCCGCCCCGCGATTCCCCCGCGGTTCACCCAGCTTAGTTTAGCTAAGCTTAGCATAGCTTAGCTTAGCTTAGCTTACCTCATCTTAACTCAGCTTAGTTTAGTTTAGCTTAGCTTAGTTGTGCCTAGCCTAGCCTAGCTTAGCTTATCTCATCTTAGCTTAGCTTAGCTTAGCTTAGCTTAGTTTAGTTTAGTTTTGCCTAGCCTAGCCTAGCTTAGCTTAGCTTAGTTTAGCTTAGCTTATCTCATATTAGCTTAGCTTAGTTTAGTCTAGCTTAGCTGAGCTTGGCTTGGCTTGGCTTAGTTTAGCTGAGCTTAGCCTAGCCTAACCTAGCTTAGCTTAGCTTAGCTTAGTTTAGCATAGCTTAGGTTATCTTAGCTTAGCTTAGCGCAGCGCAGCATAGCGCAGCGCAGCATTAGCACAGCATGGCATATCATAGCCAAGCATAGCATAGCATAGCATAGCATAGCATACCATACCATAGCATAGTGCAGCATAGCATAGCATAGCATAGCATAGCTTTAGCTTAGCTTTAGCTCAGTTTTAGCTTAGATGTGGCTTAGCGTTAGCTTAGCTTTAGCTTAGCGTTAGCTTAGATTTAGCTTAGATGTAGTTTAGCTTTAGCTTAGCTGTAGCTTAGCTGTACCTTAGTTGTAGCTTAGAATTACCTTAGCTTTAGCTTAGCTTTACCTTAGATTTACCTTAGCTGTAGCTTAGATGTAGCTTAGCTTTAGCTTAGCTTTAGCTCAGATTTAGCTTAGCGCTAGCTTTGCTTTAGCTTAGCGTTAGTTTTGTTTTAGCTTAGCTTTAGCTTAGCTTTAGCTTAGCTTTAGCTTAGGTTTAGCTTAGATTTAGCTTAGCTTTACTGTTACTACTAATGCTGCTTTCCTAGGGGCTCCAACTCCTAGGTAGGGTCGCACTGGGATGATTACTTTCTATCATAACCCCCTTGACTGGCCCAGCGACCCACCCCACCCCCTCCCCCCACCATGGTCACGATTCACAGCTGGCGCCGTCTGGGAATTAGCCATCCCTGGGCATTCCGAGACGGCGCCGGCGCAAATCGCGACGTGGCTGGACCCCTCATCCTCTCCCTCCCTGGTCACGCCCGTCATCACCAGGGGATAAAAAAGCTGTCCCCAAAGGGACGAGTCAGGGAAAGCCCGACGGTTGGAAAAAATCGTCGAAGATCTGAGCTATAACAGACCTCCCGACGCGACGCCGTAGTTCGGGGAGGCAGAAAGGGGCAGCTGCCAGAAGCACTCCGCCAGTCCGGCCGGATCTGCTTCTTGCAGACAGGCGAGCTCCGTAGGGCGAGTGCGAAGGTCAGAGGTACCCATAGGGGGCCACAAGCGAACCCTACCCCTACCCTCCACGAGTTCTGCGGGGGAGGGTGGGGTTCGCTTCGCTCGGGAGCTTCCGAACGAAGCGAACCCCACCCTCCCCCTCAGAAATCGTGGGGGGCAGGGGTAGGGTTCGCATGTGGCCCCCTAACCCAGAAATCCGAGGCGCCGAAGGAACTGGACAGGCCAACCAAGGGCCGTTTTTCGACCCTCAGGGGGCCGTCAACGGGCCGCGGGACTGTCAACAGACGACCCAGCAGACAGAGCTGGCCCCGGGGACGCGCTCCAGACCACCAGGGATCCACGCATCGGGAAAAAAATCGAGCGCCGGATGCCTCGAGGGGCGACGACAGGGGGGGACTGGTGCAGAAGGCGAGCCTCGACCAGGAAGAGGCAGTACATCGCCGACAGGTCAGCGATAGGCCCCCCCTGTGTCGAATCCTCACGTTCCTGGCAAGCGCGACCGCCCTGGAATCTCCGAAGAATCTTCCCGCGAATTCCCACGAATCTCCGATCTCCAGACAATGTCCTCGCGAATATCCTACCAGTCTTCGCGCCTTCAAAACATCCTGGCGAATCTCCAAAAAAACTTCTCGCCCCCACCCTAAAAAAAACTGCGCATCTCCAAAACATCTTTGCGCCTTAGAAATCTCCAACGAAATCTTCGCCAGAGCTTTTCTGGAGGCGTGCCGGAGATGTTCCAAAGACTTTCCGGGGATTCCTGCACGCCAAAGATTTTCTTGAGATTTGCAAAATTGTTCCGATTACTTTTCTGAGATTGCCGCACGCCAGAGATTTTGCGGAGATTCCCGCGGAGATTTGCAAATCCTGGAGATTTTCCGGAAATCCCCTTGAGATTGTAGAGCCCAGAGATTTTCTGGGAATTCTGCGGATGCCCAAACACAATTAGGAGATTACCTAAAAAAAGTCCATAAATCTAAAACAACTCCCGCGTCGCCAGTTTCCCCGCTACGGAGGAGTGTCTCGAAATAACCCCCCCCCCCCCCGGCCACCACCACCACCAAAGACACGCACGCACACACACACACACACACACACACACACACACACACACACCGACGATGACCACCACCACCCCCAGCTGGGAATTTCGAGAAATTCCTACATCGTGGGTTCTAGCTTGCGGAGAAGTCTCTCAAAATTTCGTCCGCTCCCACCCTCCGCGGGGAATTTCGAGAAACTCCTGGACAATCAGCCACTATGATGCGGAAGAATTTCTCGGAATTGCGGCCGCTCCCCTCCCGCTCGCCCCCGAAACAAAAAGGAGTTCCTCGAAATTCTCGGTCCCACCTTCCCCCAAACTCCGCGCCGCCCGCCCCCACGGCGAATTCGACGAAACTCCCCCGTCGTCAATTTCCAGGCTGTGGGGGAGCTTCTCGAAGTTGCGGCCGACCCGCGCCCCACCCTTCACCCCCCGCTGGGCGCTTCGAGAAACTCCAGGGTCATCAATTTCCAAGCTGCCAAAAGATTTTCTTGAAATTGCGGCCCTCCACCACCACCCACCCACCCACGCCCACACCCACACCCACACCCACCCACCCACCCACCCACAAGCACACACACACACACTCACGACCCCCCAGCGGAGAATTCCGAGAAACTCCCGCGTCGTCCACTTCCAGTCTGCGCGGGAGTGTCTTGAAATTGCGCCCGCCACACCCACCTCCACCAGCATGTTGAAAAAAAAAAAAAAAAAAAAAAAAAAAAAAAAAAAAAAAAACTCCATCGCCAATCTAGGAGTTTCTCGAAATTGCCGCCTCTCCCCCTCCGCCACCGAAGACGCACACACACACACACACACACACACACACAACACGACCTGTCGCCCCACCGGGTCTTGCGACCATGTCCCGCGTCGTTAATTCCCATGCAGAATGTGTTGAAAGTGCGTCCCCGCTCCGCCCCCAAGGGAAGCTCGAGAAACCCCCGCGCCGTCAGCTTCAGGGATGCGGAGGAATTTTTCGAAATTGCCCCCTCAACCACCCACCACGCACACACACACACACACACACTTTCTCTCTCTCTCTCTCTCTCTCTCTCACACACATACAGACATAGTCACACACACACACACACGCGTGACACACACACACACACACACACACACACACACACACACAGACACGCACCGACCGCGGGGGATCCTTAGAAACTCCCGCGTCGTAAATTCCAAGGCCGCGCAAGAGTTTCCCGAA